AAAAAGTTCAGGAGACATTGGTTTAATTTTAAAAATTAAAAAAGCATCGTACAATCTTCAAAAATTTTAAAAGTAAATAATAGCAGTACGAAAAAACTCAGAAAGAATATGATCATTAAACCTTAAAAAAATGATGAACCCCATGATACCGGCCTGTAAAATTAAACAACTTGTATAGTTGCAAACCCCGTACTCCGTATTTGAGTACGACTTATTCGCAAGCTAGGCTTGAATATTTAAGTTCATATCAAATAATTGGGATTCCTGATGGGACTAATTACTTACTAATTAGTGCGAGAATTAGGTTTCAAATCTAATCATCTATATTAATCAAACTATTTCCGATTAAACAGCAATATAATATTTTGCAAGTTGTTTCCTAGTATTAACTTTTTTGGTTGGAAGTAGCCTTATATACTATGTACAATCTTTCAAAAAATATAGGACCCTGTTCTCTTAGATTGAAATTTCAAAGTTGAATATTGAAAGAAGATGGAAAAAGTTGAAAAAAATGGAAAGAATTTGAAAATATTGAAATAATTTAAGTGTTCAATTAAATAATCATCTAAATAAATATGTAAGAAAACTTTAATTTTGAATAAAAAAATTTATCATTCTCCGTGTTTGGGGTGATATGGTATAAGTTTGGGTATATAATGTTATTTTATATTAATCATATATAAATACATTTTTAAGTCGTTGAAAAAAATTGAAAGAAATTAAAAGAAACTGAAAGGAGTTACAAAAAATTGGAAGTTAATTTTTTCAATCCAAAAGAACCTCTAATTCATATTTTGACATAGGGGCAGGCAAGCTCGGAACGGTCCAGGTTTTTAATTGTCTTGGGGATATATTCTCATTTTTTGAAGCTAGAAATGAGTCGAAATTGTCCAGAACATAATATTATCCTATTTTTCCTATTTATTTTTAGACGAGGATAATTAAAAATAATTTAGGACATTCTAAATCAAATTTTTTATCAATTATAAACCTAAAAAAATTAATTTGTTAACCACTAAAAATAACTAAAAAAATTTAGTTAATACAAACATCTGTAATAAATTTTTAAATAAAGTGTAATAGAAACCTAGCCAAACAATTTAAAAGTTATATTTTAGGTTTCAAATCTTATGAAAATGTATAACAAAGTAATCCAAATTAATATTTAAATAAAGTCATTTATTTGTTTCTATCTTGAAAAAACCAAAAAAAAAAAAGTGATATAAAAGTACACCCAACGAATCTTCATTTTGACAAAAAAAAGTTAATTTTGAATCAACAAAATATTTATTTCAACTATAGCGTTCATTCTGAAGCATGCTCAGAATATTGTTTATTTAGAAATAAGGTAATGTTCATTCTGAAACATGTATAATCATTCTAAAATATATTGATTCTAAAACAACGCAATATTCATTTTGAAATACTTTAATTACAAGTTTGCGATATGAACCTAGCGGAAAGTACATCCAGACGTACAATATAATTTGCCAAGCATATATACTGCCTTGGCTGACTAAGGGGCTATTTGTTTCAGCCTTTTAATGGTTCAGATGTCTGAATGGTTTAACACTTAATGGTTCAGACTGTTTGTTTCAGCCTCTTAATGGTTTAGATGTCTGAATGGCTCAGACATTTGCCTCTGAATGGTTAAGTATTATACAGAGTCTGAATAGTTAAGACCTCTTATCTGAATTGATCAGACATTTGCCTCTGAATAGTTAAGCAATATACTAGCTCTTAATGGTTCAGACCTCTTACTGATTCAGCACTTAATGGTTCAGACCTCTTACTGGTTCAGCACTTACCTATTCAGAAGTTGCCAAACAGCCCCTAAGTAGGACCAAAGAAATGTGTTTAAACAATTTTCAAAAAATTACTTTAGGGTATCCTCAATTTTCTATTAAAAATTCTTAGGTCTCACATTGTCTAAGATATACTTGGGGTCCTTAAAGTTTGTGATATTGTACTTCGATGTACATTCCGTTCATTTATGCGTTAGGATTGAAAGTTCTTTTACTTTAACAAATTGAAGAACTTTATTTAAATTTAATAAAATACGGAGTAATTATTATCAAAGTAAAATTTAGTAATTGTCAAAATACCAAAACTTTAATTCTTAAGGGTCAAATAGACAGATAGACGATGCAATTCTCTCACGTTTAGATGTTAATTTTTTGTTTAATTTCAATATTCGTCCTTTAAATTTTTGAATTATGCACACTTAGGCCAGTTGTCCTCAACTCATTTTTTATTTATTACTTATTCTTATTGAAATCAGATCAAAAACAACTTTGAATATAACTACGCTCAGATCAGACTAGATCAGAATTTATTCTAATCAAATCAGAACCATTCAGATCACGTGAAGTGAACATGGCCTTAGTCTTTCAACTTAAAAAATTCACAAATAATTCTTCAAGTTACGATAGCGTTGCATGGTTGGTCCTTTCGTTAATTTTGTCGTTACTCTATTCATTTTTTTCATTTTCCATTATAAATACACGTGAAAATCTTTTTTTCATAAAATTGATTCATACTTTTTGTAAATACATTTTAATTGAAATATTGGCAAAATAATTCAACCTGATTGGCTGTAAAAATTCAAAATATAATAAATTCTTTAAGATGAAGTGAATATTTTTTTAAAAATTAAAGTAATAAAAACAACTTATTTTATTAAAAAAATTAGAATAATGAAAGTAAGAGTAAAAAAATGCATGAATTAATGGAAAGCTTAACGAAATGACCAACTATACAATGCTAAGGTGACTTGAAGAACTATTAGTAAAACTTTTAAAGTTGAAAGACCAAGATTACTTAAAGGACTATTTGCAAACATGAACCATGTACGTCCACCACAAGATAACTAAACATTTCAAAGTGCACACCATTACTTCTAAACAATACATGTCAATCCCAACCATACGCAACTCATACATTTTTCGCAATGCTGTTTCCTTTATTTCAGTATGTACGGAGCATAAGTTAATTAATATGTGCACGCCGCATGCTTAAGTCATAAATTAAATCTTGGTCTTGTGCAAATGGTAAAAACAAGGGCTGGTAAGGGGTATATTTGAGTTCGGTCTTTGCTTAATAGCAGTTATGCTAAGCATAGCACTTATGCAAGTATTAGGTGCATGTTTTACTCTCTGTCACTAATCTCTAATAAAAATTTAATTTATCTTCTCGCAATAACTGTTAAGAGTGCCCTTGGAGATGGGATCATCCTTTTTTAATTAAACCTTCCAAAGGTAAAGAGTGCCAAGGGGACATACGCCACATGCCGTTGGGCGTAGCACAATTAGCAAATGCAGGGAGTGTCGAGGAGGTAGAACCGAGTTCTATTCGTGTCAAGTGCGCTGAGAAACAACTATGCTAAGCATAGAGTCTCTGCAAGTACCAGGTGCAGGTTCCACTCCCTACCACCAATATGCGATTAAAGTCTATTTTACCTTCTCTCAGTAACCGTCCGACCGAGTCTGAGAGTACCAAGTTCATATCAATACGAACGTAGATTTAAAACCTAAAAGGTTACTCTAACTTTAGGGTTTTACGTACCTACCTCGAATATACGAAACTAAATTACGAGCGATGAAGGTTGACGATGAGAGGGCAACAATGACGACCTTCTCTTCTCCTTCTTGTTCTTCCCCCTTTCTCTGATGTTTCCCATTCGAGAGAGAGAGAGAGAGAGATGATCGAGAGAGCTAGAGGGATGAGAGAATTACGTGAGTGGCGTGCGGCTTGTGAGGTGTTAAACACATGTATGAGCTGTTTAAATACCCTATAGACTTGTGTTCCGTAATTAATATGATGTACCCCAGGAAAGAAAAATACACCTTTTTGGGCCACTTGCCCCGAGTTCAGATTCGTTTACACCATTGGATTTGTCTCATCGAACCCTAAATAACGGGATAATTTTTATAATTAATTAACAAGCTTTTTCTTCATTTCCATTACCCTTATAGTGCTCACCTCATAGCAATGAAACCTATTCGTTAGTATCTCCTTGGCACCATCACACGCAGAATTAATCTCTCTCGTTCGAATACAGTTTCTTTGCAGGCTTATTCAGATGCCAATTAGGCTGGCTGTTCTAACACTCGGTGGTCCACCTCCGGATATTGTTTGTTTTTGGGACAGTGCGTACCCTCACTCCAATCCTACATTAAAATGACATTCTCCTCTCTGGACCAAACTCTCAGTAATTTGTTTTTGGGCATATCTCAAAAGGCCTCATACTAATGAGGTGGATAACCGTATTTATTTAGATCATTTTTCTTTTTCATTTCTGGTGTGAAATGAAGTTTGCACCTCAACAAATCTCCCCTCAAACACAGATCACACAATCTCATGACCTCCTCTTCAACAATTATTCATTTGATTTGCACACCATCTTGCCCCAATTTCAGTGTGGGATAAAGTTTACGCATCAACATGTGTTTCTTGGGGATAATCTCTTTTCGTGGTTCTCCAAGAGACAGACCACCACTTTCCGCTATAGTGATGAGGCTGAATACCGGGTTGTTACAAATATTGTCGCTAAGACAAGTTGGATACGGAATCTTCTCCTTGAGTTGCATCAACTTTTGCACTGGCGATAGTGTAGCCGGAAGTATGTTAACTATATTTAGTATACAATATTCATAGATTTCTCCAACAATATTAATATTTTATTTTTATTGTCTCTATTATTCTTAAAGTAACAATATACAAGTAAAAAAAATTGGAATGTAAAACGAATTTGCATTGTAGTAATACTCTCAATTAAGTAAAAGGTTGGTGAACCTAACAAGGAACATGTCGGGTAACATGAACCACTGAGCTATTTCCTTGAACACTTTTCGATTTACCTTCGCTTATTCCTCCGATCACTCAGTGACGTACACTCTCCTCCAACTAGTCCTCCCACCGTCTAACAAGTACTGCCTTTGGCGTATAATTAATAAACAAATAAAAACCATGCCAATAAAATTGTACCACAAAATTGTACACCCACACCTGAAAATTTAATTAAAGAAGCTGTCACGGCTGAGACGAGAAGGGAAGAAGAAGATAGGGATTTTTGTACATTATAATACCAAATGTCTTATTCTTCCACACCAAACATGCGGATTCATCAAACACCCCTCAACTAATTTACTCTCCCCTAATAAATATATAGCAACATTTTTTTAGAAGGGGAAAAGTCCTAGACCACATTATGTGAACAAACACCCAAATCAAACCATTACAAAAACTTATCAAACTTGTAAAAATTAAAATAAAAAAAAAGGACGACTTTTCATGCAGTAAATTTTTTTTAAAAAAAAAGAAGATAGAGAGAGGGAAAATAGAAGACATGATTTGACTCATTTTGGGACCGTCTCTTTCTCTGTCCCTCACTCCACACAACCAATCAACTCGGCACAGACTCGGCACCCACGAGTTGATCGACTCACTGCGGCACGCCGGCGCTCGGCTTCCAAGCGGAGGTGGCAATCAGCGGCCTGGTGTGCCACCCCAACATCAGGCAACCGTCGTTCTCCTCCACCCGGTACCCACCTCCGCCGGCGAACATCTCCAGGAGCATACTCGCCTGCTTGAAAGCGTTCGAGCCGAGGGGAACCGGGTCGAACCCGGCCGTCCTCATCCTCTTCCTCCACTGACTCAGACTCTCATGGCGCTCGGACCGGTCCGCCCCTTCGCACGCCACCACGTTGCAGATCTGCTGCCCCAGGTAGAGCTCCGACATCACCAGGTCGTGGCTGTTGACCGGAGACTGCCCGGAGGAGCTCTCCAGGGAGTCGAACATGGTTGAGTAATAATGCAAGGCCTCGTTGAACCGGTCCAGGAAAACCTCGCCGTTGTGGTTCGATTCCTGCTCCACAACCGTGACAATCCTCGGCTTCATCCCTTTGATGGAGTCCAACACCTTCTCTATCCCGCCGCTTCTGGCCAACATCCGGTGGAGCTCGAAAATGGAGTTCACCGCCACAGCCTCGTACTTGCTCGGTCTCATGTCCAACATTTTTGGGTCTATGTCAGAAAGAGAATTAGCCATGAATCCCCTGAACTCGAACTCCACGCCGATACTCTCGGCAAACTGGGCAAGTTTCCAGCCGACTTCTTGAAGAGCATCGATGTTGTCCTTCTGGGGAGGGCCGATTCCGGTGAGCCGGAAGGCCGGCGGGCCGCCGGGACGGAGTGCTAAAGCCTGCATCAGCGGCGGCCACTGCAGCCCTTGATTCAGGCTGAAATCGATGATGTGGACGCGGGGGGAATCGGAGAAGGCCTCGAGGATGGCTTGGTTGGCGGTGAAGTGGGCGAATTTCAGGTAGGGGCAGGCGTCGTAGAAGTGCATCTGGAGGACGTCGTTGAAGGAGGTGTCGAAGGTGTCTTTGGGGTAGATTTTGTAAATCCGGCGGGCGAGGGCCTCCGCGAAATATGTGGCCACCTTGCGCATTGCTCCGGCCTGGGAAACGGCGAGAACTCCGATGTGTTTCACCAGGGCGTCCGCGAACTTGAAATTCTCCTGCTGAACGGCTTCGGCGCAGGCCATCAGGGTATGGACAAGCCGGACGCCGGTTTCCTGAGAATCCACCAGAACCACCGGCCGAGCAGCCTCTGTAGCCACCGCTCCGCCCATCTCCGCCGCCGATTTGGCGGAGAAATCAGATCCAGCCGAGGATTTCTGTCTTTTGTAAGACTCCGACGCCGGATCTCGCCCCTTCTGCTCTCTATTGCCGTTTCCGAAGATAGCGCCGCCCGGAATCGCCCTCAAATCATCATCGGAGATCCTCCTACCATGGCCGCCCGTAATAGCCGAGGATGGTTCGCCGGAAACGACCAATTCGTCGCTAACCACGGCGCTGCAAGCAGAGTGACGAGGAAGGGCGTCGAAATCTGGGGAGAAAGCAGAAGAGGCGTTGAGCTCGGAGAGCATGCTCTGGATCCAGCCGGTCAGATCAGAAGGATTGTAGTGAACCGTAGAAGTTGCGAGATGGGAAATCCCATCTTCCATCGTCGTCCCCATGGCCATCTCAAGCTGCTCGAGCTTCTGAGCTACCTCCGCCATGTCCGAACTCTTCACCTTGTAGCCCAAAACGGCCAGAAGCTCGTCCATCCCTCCATCAGGCGGGGGCTCTTCCCAAATCTTTGATTTGCCCATCAAAGAGCTCTCCTCCTTGGGTCGATCGCGATCCCTCTTCATTGTACTCTGCGATTTCTTTCAAGAAATTGAGTGTTCAGAAAGAGAGTTTAAACCACCGAAATTCTGAGATTCATGAATTTCAGATATCTGGGGTTTCTTCTTTTATCAGAGGCTTACTGTTACTTTAATCAATTTTCTATAGTTTGTTTGTGTGGTGGATTCGAGAAGAAAGAGAGAGTGCCAGTGAAGATGATGGCGCAAGGTTCAAGAGAGGAATGGAGGAGATAAGGAAGGAAGGAAGGGGAGCCAGCCATAATAATAGGGTTGTGGCCCGTGTGCTTTTTCCCCCAATTTTTTCTACCTTTTCCTTGTTTTCTTTTTTATTGTCGTTGAAACTCTTCTGAAACCCAGATTTCAAATCAGTAAATTCAATCACTATTTTATTTTTTTAAAACTAAAAAAAAAACTTGGCAAGCAATAAAATACTTACTTGGTAATTAAATAACAACGTGTCAATGATCATTTGTCAATAATGCGCAGTATTTCTTCCTGCGTGTCTCGCTCTCCTTCAGTGCCTCTTCCAAAGTTATTCTTGTTATTTTAATATTGGCCTCAATTCAAAATTAATTTATTTTTACACCATAAATTATTATTTTGTTAACAACGGGTTAACAGAATGGCCTGGTTTATGCAACAAAATGAAAGTTGGGATTATTTTTAGAAAACTTTTACTTTTTATTTATTTAAATAGTTATTTAAGTTTTTAAAAAAAACTTTCTACATAAATTTCTTTTTCCTTTTAAAAAAGTATTATTCTTATCTTATAGAAAGTAAAAAAAGTATAAAATATCAAATATAAAAAAAAGTATAAAAATATTAAATATAAGAATTCAATAATTTTTCTCATTTTTGTTATTTTTTATATCTAGTTTTTTATTTATATCCAAAGTTAGACTAATCTTTAAAAGAATACAAATGATGGAAATCAAACTAAAAATGAGAAGTAGACATATTTGGAACAAGAAAACGAGATTTTAGAACATAATACTTGTACGTCTCACAAGAATGACATTCAATCAATGACAAAATTGATTGAAGGAAACCTGAGAAAAATAAAGCAAGAGATTGAGCCGATCTAGGGCTGAATTTGAAGGGCCGAATCCGTCGATGACGCTGGATGGAGATAACGACTCTGAACGAAGGCGGTGGCGATGGAGACGGTCCTCTGGAAAATACGATGCTGGGTTGGATGGAGATGGAGACGCAAAACAATGAACGAAGATGGTTTTAACCTATGATGGCGTTGAATAGAAGAAAAATATTTTAATTTTGGATTGGGGCCAATATTGAATTAACAAGAATAATAATTTAAGTTCTTAAAAGAGGTGGAATATTATGTTCACATGTCTCTTTCTTATTACGCTACATGGGAAGGGTTTTAAAACCCCCACTTTGGAAGAGGCACCGAAGGAACCGCCCGGATGAGGGGGTTCAGCACGGCCGAAACCGGACTTAGAACATTTAGAGCTTGTTCTTTAGGACTGGAAAAAAAGAGCTGAATATTGGAAGAAACTGGAAAAAATTGGAAGGAACTGCAAAAACTGGAAAAAACTGGAAGAAACTGGAAGAAACTGGAGGAACTTGAAGAAACTGGAAGGAACTGGAAGAAACTCGAAAAAACTGGGAAAACTAGAAAAAACTAGAAAAACTTCAAAAAATTAGAAAACTTAAAAAAACTTTAAAAACATTTATTTTAAATTCTTGTTTTATAAATTATTATTATTATTATTATTATTATTATTATTATATTGTTATTATTATTATATTATATTATATTATTATTAGTGTTATTATTATTATTATCATCATCATCATCATCATCATCATCATAATCATCATCATTATCATGTTATCTTAATAAATGCTTTTAAGATACAAAAAAGTATTGTTATTTTTAAATATAAAAAACTACTTTTGCAAAAAAAATAATTATAATATAAAGCTAGCATAAATATAAAATTATTAAATTTTAAAAAGTCTTTGTGGTTATATTGCACCTCAATTTATTTATAAAGTATTTATTATAAATAATATATTTGTAAGTATACTTTATATATTACTCGTACAAGATTTTGTTTTAAATATCACACATGTCACGTTATGTAATCAAACCTATTTTTCTTTCATGATTGACATTTTATTTTCATTGAAGTCCTATTTTTGGAATAAAAACATAGAACTTTTTTATACATTTTTTTATGTTTTAGTCATATTTTAATCTTTTTCTCTAAATTATTTTGACTTACAATTTTTTTATAAAAATTAGAAAAATGAGCAAATTTTAAGTAATCAAAGGGAAAGGTGAGAGGTCTTATATAAAGTTAGATTAATAAAACATTCAATGTCACTATTTTATCCATAATTTTTTAATATAATTTAACATATTGATGTTTTCATGTTTTATCATGTAAACTAATATACAAAAAAGTCTTATTCACATTAAAAAGTTGAAGAAAAAAATACTGAGTGTGAATCGTAAAAAAAGTGAGGTGAAATTTTTTTAAATAAACTATAGTTATGAACATAACAGTTGTAATAATAATAATAATAATAATAATAATCACATTAAAATATATCATTTTTAGAGTAATTGGTTGAGGAGTAGAAAAAGTTTGAAGAAAATGAGAATCATTGGAAGAAACTGGAAGGAACTGGAAGAATCTGGAAGAAACTGGAACAATTAGAAGAAACTGGAAAGAACTAGAAGAAACTGGAAGAAACTGCAAAAAACTGGAAGAAACTGGAAGTTAAGAGTTCAAGCCCTAAAGAACAGGCTCTTACAATGGTTTGTTTGGATCCTCGCACTTGGTGGTTTATGTTGACAGATTTAAACGGTTGATTGAGTTAGCTATTTTGATCGCTTTTTTTGTTAGCTGTTAAGTGTTAAATATTTGGTAACTTTAGATGTTTATAGTTAGCTGTTTGTAAGTGAAATTACATATAAGGACATCCCTCCATTTATATTAATTTGTGTGTCATTTTTAATTTTTTATTCTGATAAAATACGCACATGATACAAGCAAATGCTCTACATCTATCTTTTTTTAACTAAAAAGGCGACTTCGTTTTTTTATAATTTTAGAAATGAGAACTTACATTTATATTTTATGAGTAGACTTTTTTTTTGAATTTATTTCATTTATCATTCTACAAATAACAACCATGCATGGTATATTTTCTTTTATAGTTTTTAAATATCTTATCAGAAATATACAAAAATACTCTACACCAATTATAAATTAAAAAAATAAATAAGAAATTACTCGAGACAAGCATCATGCACAATCTGAAGTATCAAACATTTTTTGAGACGAAATTAGCATTAGAAGTGATAAAAAATCAGACAAACTCTCAATTTTTTTACTAATGAGATCTTCTCGCCATCAAACTTGAAGTAATATTCTTACAGATGTTTCTCATTTTCTTGGCTTCTTATCACCATCTCATTATTTGCAACATAGTTTTCAACATCTTCAAACACATCTACAGGTACAAAATCAGGGTCATCATCAACTAGTTGAAAAGCTGGGTCACTTATTATGCTCATTCGAATATAGTTGCGCAAAGCAAAACACGAACAAATAATCTTGTTTTGATCCAGTAATGAATATCATGGAATTCTTTGCAATATCTTCCATCGAGCTTTAAGAATACCATAAGCTCTCTCAATGCAACTTCTTAATGATGAATGCATTCTATTAAAAACTTCTTGACTTCCTCTTGGGTTTGTGCCACGAAATTCGGATTGATGGTGATGGTGTAAATTATCTCGACCGGAATATCGCTCTTAGCCGGGATTAAACGATAAACTAGTCTAACAAAATTCACCAAAATATAAACACAAGATTTTTGACTTGGAAACCCAATCGGGGGAAAACCACGAGCTTTTTTTTACGGTACCTTGCCAACGGGGGATTTTTTTAATATCTGGGGGTTGTATATGATACATGATTTGGGCTCGGAAGCCATTAATGGAAGCTTAAAAGCTTATTGAAGAACAAAAATACAAGAATTCTTGAGAGACAAAGAATAATGGGCAGGGAAGGAGTGTGATTGACCTCCTTTTGATGAAGGAGAGCCCTCTTTTATAGGAGTAGCAGGAGCATCTACGGGAGAATATTCTTTTATTCCTCTATTTTATTAAATAGGCTTGATTTGAGTGTTCTTTGTAAATAATTGGGAAATGTGAACCGAGCCACGTATTATTTTCTTCAAGAAGTCCTTCACTTTTTTAAGTTGTGAGAATCATCAACTTAAAAAAGTAAATAAGTCCTCCAGGTGCTATCTTCAGTCTTCGTACTTTGGATTCTTGATTGGTTGATATTGCTAGTCCTCCGAGTCTTCAATAATTCTCTAATTTCTTGAGTGAGATGTTTTTCCTGCTAAAAATAACACATACAACATTTTTTGACCGGCGTATGTCGTGCTCAAATAATTATTATCTTTACCAAGAAGCTCGGTGCTAGGGTGATTAAAATACGCACGGAAAACTATCGTAACAAGAGCGATGGAAGCTCGATGAAACAACGGTCCTTCAAATAGTTATATAATTTCGACAAGACTGGAGTTAGTACGATGAAGGTACTGTGTAACACCCTAATCCGTCTACGTTAGCAGCCCCTTTCGGACTAAAGTATTAACTTGGTAATCGTAAAAATTTAAAACATTTCAAACATATTTATTTATCATAAATAATATTCAATACTTAACAGTAGAAATATGAAGTGTTTAATAATGTTGCGGAAGCGAATTTAAAACATGTCAAATGACATTCACAATTAATTATTTAAACCACACATCCATCACGACCATCTCGCCCGCGTCTGCCACCAGAAACAATCACTTCATTCATTCTATCTACATGCGTGTAGCAAATAAAACACACTACACACTCAACGGTGAAGCTGAATAAGCATATCTAATGCGTCGAACATCCATATAAATTGAATTTCAATTCATAATCAATCATTTGATATCATGCATATAATATCCAATCATTCATCTTTCATGATAAGCACAATATTTTAATTCAAGATATTTCGTATACAATATTCCATATTCAGTATTTCAACAGTGCTCTTAAATTATTCTTAATCTAAGGCCAAATCATTTTTATAAAAAGCTCTTAGCAATTCCTACTCTAAGGCAATATTGCTAACCAGGCTTTTAAACTATAAATAGTTTAAGGCAGAACAAAGGAATTGATAATCCATCCTATGAGTCTTGAATTGTGGATTACGTACCAACCGAACAATGAACTATCGGGTGGGTGATATCCAGTTTGGATCCCATACGTATGTTTTAACCCCAAATAATTGAATTGGCCAGTAGGTATATCTTAGAGTTTCTTCTAGATATCCTTAATAATCATCAATAATTTCCAAATGGGTATATCTTAGAGTCTTCTAGATATCCTTAACAGTACGCTTCATTTTCATGATTACCAATATATCCATTTTTCGTCATTATTTAATCATTCATAATAATTACTTGAATCAGAATATTCATTAAAGTGTGGTGAGCTTGGTGTCATCTCATCGAAGCATGTCATCTCACCGTAAGGTGTCATCTGACTGGAGAGACGTCTGCTTTACTATTTTAGGGTTTATTGGATATTCATTATTTATCTTTAATAGTAATAAAAAGTAATACCAATAGAAAATGAAAAGTGGGACAACATATGCAAAATGATATTGAAAACTAAATGGAAGAATGAAAAAACAAAAATTAAAATTCCTTAGTAATTAAAATATCTAATAATATAATATGAAATATTATTATTTTAATAATAATAATTGACCATTGACCCCCGGGTCGACCGGTTAACCCTTGGCGCACTAGCTCACCCGAGTCGATGTTTGGTCTAGTTTTCAGAACATTGGTTTGGGAGATAAGTATATAAACCATTTAATATGATTTTTTCATTTACTCCTTTTATTATAATATTATTACGTTAATTATCATTTAGATATAATTAATTTACACATTTTAATTTGTTAGGGCATTAGGGATAAGTCTTTAGGGCCTTTTTTCCCGTCTCGACTTAGGCCATGAGATTCTAAGGACTGGTCTTGATTAGCGTATATTGTACTTATGATAATACATATGTAGCATTGGGCCGATAGTTAGGCCCAGACTTAACCTTGTACTGTTTGCATATATTGTCCTGGGATCAATTGAAAACTCAAGGAGAAGTCATTTACGAAATTATACATACATGGTGTGTTTGAAGACAATATTTTAAATTTTGAATAAATTTTTTGTGCTCACACTAAAAGATATCGTTAAATAATTTTTTTAAAAGGCTTTTATTAAACTTTAACATTGTTGCCAAACTGGCCATGCATATTCAATGCACAAAAGGAGTACGGAGTGTAATGTTAATTAATTTGATAAAGGCTTCAACCCTTTGAAAATAATCAAATATTAAGTAATTGCAGCGTTTCAATTCTAATACTTTCACATTTTGTAATTTAATCTCCACCATTATGTTAAAAAATAATCTAAAACGTCAACTAATTGATAGTTAAGAACATTAATTCGGGAAATAGCGTTTTACTTAATAAATGCCCTACGAAGTACTCCGCAGTATTTAATTTCGGTACTTAGAAACAGATTGTTAATTAGATGAGTTATGAATTTGGAAACTCATGAATGTCGTATATGAGCATATCAACCGCTGGTTAGAAATAATAAGTTTTATTTTTTTGACAATATTTTATGATTGTAATTCTTCTACAATTGTAAGCAAATGTGAAAGTGTTGATATGCACTCTTGTTATGGTGTGAAGAATCAGCAACTTAAATTTTGGTATAGTATTGCTCCTATTTACTCTCTCTCTCTTGCAATGAGTTTATTCATTTTGATTTTTCATACAAATATATTTGGTATTTTCACCATCATTTAATTAAAAAATACAATGAATAATGATACTCCCTCCGTCCCAGAAAACATGGGAGTTTTGGTTTTGGAGAGGGATTTAAGCGGAGTGTATTTTGGTAATGAATTTCCAAAAATGTCTTTTGATGTGATAGGTAAAAGTATGATTTGATGGATATATTATTAGTAAAAAAGTATGATGTGATAGATAGAGTATGAAAAAGTAAGGGGTAAAAGTGTCTTTTTAATAAAATGAGAAGTGTTTTTTGGGACGGATGAAAAAAGAAAAGAGAAAGGTTTTCTGGGACGGAGAGAGTATTAATTAAGAAAACAATTTAGTATGTAGTAATACTCCGTATTTTGTTTTGCAAAATAGTATTGTAATAAGTTACTTTATACGGAGTACTCCGTAATAATTAATATTTTTACAATGTTAATTAGACAATTCATAATGAAGTCCAATGCTAGTCTTTTTCCCCAAGGTTTTATCTGAAAGACGGATTATGTTTGTCCCCTGAAAGCAAATTTTTTTGTGGTCTTAAAGTTCATGCTTATCTTATGGATCTTAGTTCTTTTGCAAAATACAAGATATCTTTATGCAAGACCATGAAAAGTATGAGAAAGTCTACATTTTGAATATGGACCATATAAACGTCACTCTTATTTAAAAGACTGAAAAATGAAAGTAAATAAAAAGTTTATAATAGATGTGGTATTATAAGTAACTCTAGTTGTACTTGTTGTTATTATTAACAATAACATATATTTTCTCCATTCCAAATTAATCTTTCCATATTCCTTTTTGAAACATCCAAAAAAAAGTTTCATATTTTCTTTTTTTTGGAAAGCTTTTTGTAGCTCAATATCTTTCTTTCTTCTTTATGGTGTAGATTACTTTCAACCACCTAATTTTACTTTTATTAACGTTTATACCAAATCCAATCAAGAAAATTAATTTGGGACGGAAGGAGTAATTAATATTAATAGTACATTTAAGAAACAAAATTATAGTATTATTAGTAATTTTTCAAAATAAAAATTTATTATTATTATTATGTATCATTATTATTATTAGCTGCATGAAGAAAGCAAAAACACATTGGTAAAAACTAAAAAGTGTCAATCCGGCCGGCCACGAAAATATCAACTACGGAGTATTATAAAAAGTATCCTTGTTTAACTTGAATTTGTGTGGGGAAGTGGAATAATAATAATAATAATAATAATAATAATAATAATAATAATAATAATAATAATAATGCTATATATATATATTGCAGAGTTTGAATAAATATGTGGTTAGGACTGTTATATTAATTAATCCCTCTGAGTTAATTAAATACATACATCCTGCATGGATTAGGAGTGTAAACCTATAAGTAATAACCCATTATTATTATTATTATTTAATTTCTCCTGGCATCAATGTTCAATTCCAGGCATGTGTCCTACCCCGTAGCTAGTTCATGTTCAAATTAATTCTTGTATGAATTTAATTAATTAATACCGTATGTTGTATATATGTAATATGAGAAGTTTAATTAATTTACTCAGGTGGTAAATAATTGCTGTGGAATTGATTTTATTGCTGTGTGAGAGAGATGGCGAAGTCGGGATCAAATACTATACGGCGGCGGCCGGTTTTTATTGTTTTGCCATTCTTATTGCTCTTTTCTTCTTTGGTCGTTCATGCAATAAGGTATAAATTTATTCTAATACTACTTTCGTTCCTGAGTATTTGTCTAGTTTTGATGCTTTCTGGTCATTTGTTTTCAATCTTTGATCTATAATTAAATAAAAAATATATTTTATATTAATTATAAAAAAATATATTTTAAAAATATTTTATACAATGAATCTAATAAATTTTTTTGTATCAATATCTAATATCTTTTTTTAAATTTGAGTTCAAAGATTACCAATTTTGATCGAAAAAAGTCAAAAGTAAACAAATTCTGAGGGAGAGAGGAAGTATATTCTTATTGCCTTTTTCTTGTTTCAACCCTTAGCTTTGCATGTAAATTAAAGAGGGAGCTTAATAATGTGTTTGATTTGGATATGATGATGATCATGTCAAAACTTAACTTTTGAGAAGGGCTTGTAATTAATAGTTTCCTTCGTTTCCTTAGGTAAAATCGTTTTAAATTTACTTTACTTAAAAATGAATTACTATAAAATTAAAAAATAAAATTTATGTATACTTTATTAAAAAAATTAGGGCTGAGCAACGGTTGGTTTTGGTTTGAAACCGAAAAAACCGATTTTTTTAATATGGTTGAAGACCGACCGAACCGAACTGATCATAAATTAAAACCGATCGAACCGAAACCGAAAACCGCCCATACAACAAAAAAAACCAACAAAAAAAACTGAATTTTAATTACTTTTATTTTGACTTTTTAATATAAATTCAAGAAACTAATTCGGCAAAGTAGATTGATATGTATTAAATTAGTTTAGATTAATGCTTTTCTATTGCCATTAACTTAGTAAGTTAGATTAATTTTTATTTGAATACACACTATCCATTTCATATAAAAATTACACTTTTCTTATTAATATGTTCAAAACATTAACAAATAACTTTTTTAAAAGTGAAACATTAAAGTTTTTCATGAAAGAGTAAGAAGAAAGAATGTGTGTTAATCAAATATTTTCTTATTCTAAAAAATAAAAAATAAATTAAAATAAAATCATCGGTTATTCGGTTGGTTCGGTTTTTTCTTACAAAAAACCGAAAATGCTTTTTACATGAAAACTGAAACCAAAACTGAAACCAAACTTTTGGTTATTTCGGTTTTTAGTTTTTGGTTTCACGATCGGTCCAGTTAATTTACTCACCCCTATAAAAAATGGCCTAAAGATCCATCACTCCTGCGGTTTATCAGCAAATACGCATCAATGTCTCCGGTTTTCAAAACTTAGATATAAAATTCATGCAGAAAATTATTCTGACAAACTTTCGATTTTCTGATAATGACTCCAAAATTTCACATTATCTAAAATATATTCCGGTGTATCCTCAATTTTCTTGTAAGAACTTTCAGGTCTCATATCATTTGAGATATACTACTGGTGTCCTTAAAATCAGTGGTAATGTACTTCCTCGGTACATTCAGTCTATTTGACCGTTAGGATTAAAAAAAATGTGTACTTTGACAAATACTAAATTTTACTTTCATAATCATTATTTTATTAAATTCAAATAAAATCCTTCAGTTTTCAAAGTAAAGGAATTTTTAATCCCAACACCTAAATAGACGAAATGTACCTTAGAAAAATAGTATTAAAAATTTAAAGACTTCGAAGTATATGTTCGATAATGTGAGACCTGAGTGTTTTTACCAAAAAATTGAGGGTACCCCGAAGCATATTTTAGATAATATGAGACCTGAGAGTCATTATTAGAAATTCGAGGGTACCCTAGAGTAATATTCTGTAATTCATTTATATTCAAAACATTGCACATACACTTCTCTAAACATTTCAAATAATTTTTCGTGAAGAGAGAGACATTGGTGCTTATTTTTCAAGTCACGTGGCATCGGAGCTCATTTCTTATTTTTCATTCATTTTTACGTTTTTTTTCCTTTTTATCTTTGTTTCGTTCTCAGTATATATGTCTTTAGTTTCTTTTTTAAATTTTTTTCATAATGTTTTGAAAAATCTAAATTATTTGCATTTGAAATAAAAAATAATTGAAATAGAAAATATTAACATATACTGCATCTGTCTCCAATAAAAAGTTTTAATGAGGCATAGAAAAAGAAAAAACAAGGAAGAAAAAATATTAACATATACTGCATCTGTCTCCAGCTATTTGACATTTTTAAATCTGTTCGATCTAGAAAAAACATATTTTTGGACCAGCACCAAACATTTGTGAAAGAAGTTCTCATTTTATTTTTTAAATTGAATAAATAACCTTTTTTAAAATCCCAATTACAATTAATTTATATTTTTAGATGTCTAGAAAAGGAACCTTATTCGCGCATTGAATGGCTACTATTCCATTTTTAGAGTATTTTTTTATATGTAACATTATTTTATGGCTATGTAATTGAAATAGCCTATATATGTAACATTATTTTATGGCTATGTTACAATTTTTGTCCAATATATACTCTTTTGCTAAAGGTATTCCCATCTCTTATTATAGAAATTTTAGTACTCTATTACTAAAACGACTTTTTTTATTCGATTTGATAATTTAATGGGCAAATCTCGATCGTGCATAGATCTCAAGTGAATAAGTTGATGAGTTCGATTAATTATGGATTGATATATAGTATCACGTACCATTTTAAATTGCAGGTCCATTCCAGCAAATAACACTCAAGACTTACAAGCATCTAATTCCTTGAGACTTACCATTACAGATACACATGTAAACTGATGAATACTTGTTCATAGTTAGTAAAAGAAATACTTTCATAATTCCAAAGTTGATTCTAAGATCTAAATTAAACTACAATTATGCTTTATGTTCAGGTGGTGATGGACAATGGTTTTATCACAGTGACACTCTCAAACCCGACGGGAGGAATTGCCGAGATTCGGTACCAAGGAATTGATAATGTGCTCGAATATGGTTTCAAAGAAACAAATAGAGGGTATTGTGAAACATAATGTATTATTTACAACAGTGGTAAAAATATGTCAACAAATTGGAGTCCATATTATAGAACACACACATACACTATATTAAATTTTGGATTGGAGCCTTTTTTAATATTCTACCATGCTTCTTAACTTATCACGAGGGTCTGTGAGACTCAAACTCATGACCAAAAATGATTGTTGAAGAATAAGAAGACATTTTTTTGTTGTCTAACGTTAATGAAATATTTACGTATACAGGTATTGGGATATTGTTTGGAACAACCCAGGGAAAGACAATAGTGGTCACTTTGAGATGTAAGTTTTTTTTATTTTATGTGTATTCCTATATCCACTCTCATTTTGACCAAATCCATCCAAGTAATGACACATTGATAATTTTACCCTTAAAAGTTGGTTTGCATCTTAACTTTCTCTTTTATATTTTTAAGAGTAAAATTATCAACTTCTCATAAATGGGATGGATTTAGCCAAAATAGTGGTTGATTTAGTAACACTCTCATTTTATACGGAGTATATCTCTAATTTAGCCTTAATCATAATTAAGGCTTCCAGCAACACATTTTAGAGTAATCACATCAGACCAAAACCAAATAGAGATCTCATTCACAAAAAGTTATGATTCCAAAGATTCTTCCAGTACAGTTCCTCTAAATGTAGATAAAAGATATGTAATGTTACCTGGCCAGTCTGGCTTCTACACGTACGCAATCTATGAACATCTTCAAGGATGGCCTGATGTAGACATTGGCCAAACTCGAGTTGCTATCAAGCTGCAAAGAAGATTGTAAGTTATACTATACGTTCAAAATGATAAAGTTAACTTTTTAAATCTATTACACTTCTTATTGCATTTGCTTAATATATATATTGTTTCATTTACACAAGATTCAACTATATGGCTATATCGGATGACATACAAAGAGAAATGCCTAGTGACAATGATCGTTCTACTGGAAAGACCCTTGACTATAAAGAGGCAGTTTTACTAACCAACCCATCTAATCCTACTATGAAGGGAGAGGTAATACAAATATATATACCATTTAGGAGTTACTATTACCTACACTTTTTAAAAGTTGTAAGACTCTTGATTTAAGGTTTTTAATGCCACATCGATATTGATATAGGTAGATGATAAATACCAATACTCGTTAGAAAATAAGGATAATAAAGTGCACGGATGGATTTGTCCAAACCCACATGTTGGATTTTGGATCATCACTGGGGCGGACGAGTTTCGTTCTGGAGGGCCAATAAGACAAGATCTCACCTCTCATGTTGGCCCAACTGCCTTATCGGTATGTAATTAATAGCTACTCCCTCCGTCCCACTCTTTTTGTCTACTTTCATTTTTGCACACCATCCAATGCACTTCTTTAATCCATTTTATCTTGTAATTTATATATTAAAAAATTATAAAAATTATATATTAATAATCTATATGTTAAGACCAATCAAACAAGATCACACATGACTATTTTTAGACTTACACATTGAGAGAATTTGATGAGTCAAAGTGCTTAGATGAACAGTTCCAAAAGTCAAAACTGGACAAAAAGAGTGGGACAGATGTAGTACTTTATTAGCACCAAGGCCACTATTGATTTTTTTTAAAAAAATTGAGCCTTCAATCATAAGCTTAAGTTTGAGTTTTACTTGTACACCTTCAGATGTTTTTTAGCGGTCATTATGCTGGCTACAACTATGGTGTTAGTTTGCGAAATGGTGAAGCTTGGAAAAAGGTCTTTGGACCAGTTTTTATTTATCTCAATTCTGACAACGACAGTGACCCGAAACCCCTCTGGAAAGATGCTAAAAAACAGGTACTCCGTAGTTAATTTAATTATTAGAATTTTATATATATATAAAATTTGTAAATAAAATAATTTCGAAAGATACAGAGTTTTACTTCGTAAATCTGAATTTGTAATCAAATTTGAGACGGAGGGAGTTTATATATATATATATATATATATATATATATATATATATATATATATATATAAACTCCCTCCGTCTCAAATTTGATTACAAATTCAGATTTACGAAGTAAAACTCTATATCTTTCGAAATTATTTTATTTACAAATTATTAAATCAATAAAAATAAAAATTACATATTAAAAAATTACGTCAAAGTTTCTACAAAATAAAATGTGACAAAAATATTTAAATTTATCAAATAATCAATGAAAATAGACAAATAAATAAAAATTATTGAAGGGTGTGAAAAAAAATTATAATAAAAATAAGGACAGATAGAATATATGAAATGTATGTATGAAAAATAGTTTTAGAGAGAAGCTGCAGCTTCTCTAAACCCAGCTCGCCGTCAGATCACATCACCGGTCACCGATCAGCACCAGCGCTTCACTCTCATCTGCCTTATCACAGACCNGATCATTCAAAGAAAGTTACCTCTGGCCTTAAAAGAATCAGGCAAGTGATAACTTTCACACCATGGAAGAAAGAGAAAGTAAAGAAACTTGGAAGAGAAGTTGTTATTCTATCTGTGAAAGTCTGCGTACAAGCTAAAGGAAAAGGAGTATATAAAGGAACCAAAACTACTAGCTAACAGAAAACTGCAAAGCCTAAAATTAAGCCCCAAACAGTGGGGTTAGTTAAACACTAAGTGACAGCTGGCATTGACCCCTTTACAGCTGGCATTGAATCTGTTATCTTCACACCTCCCCGCAAGCTGGGTGGTGGAGAAACCATGCCCAGCTTGGACAGCAGCTTCTGGAATTGATCAGCAGGCATGATTTTGGTGAGGACATCAGCTAGTTGATTTGTGGTGGGCAAATAAGAAAGCTGAATGAGTCCTTCAAGAACCTTTTCCCTAGTGAAATGACAATCAATGTCGATGTGCTTTGTTCGTTCGTGGAAGACAGGATTCTTAGCAATGTGTATGGCAGACTGATTATCACAATGAAGAGTGATAGGTTTTAAGTTGGGCACACGAAGTTCTTCGAGTAGACGGATAAGCCAAGTTACTTCAGAAGCAGCCTGAGACATGGCTCTGTATTCAGCTTCAGATGAGGATTTGGAAACCGTGCTTTGTTTCTTGGATTTCCAGAAATGGGAGAACCACCAAGGAGAACTAGGTAACCTGTGACAGAATGCCTTGAAAAAGGGCAGGAAGCCCAATTAGAATCAGAAAAGGCATGTAAGGATAAGGTGTCAGATCCCTTCATAAGAATGCCTTGATCAATGGTTCCAACCAAATAATGAAGAAGATGAATAGCACCCTTCATGTGAGACTCCTCAGGGGTTTGCATAAATTGACTAAGAATTTGAACAGAGTAGGAGAGATCAGGTCGGGTATGAGTGAGGAAATTAAGTTTTCCAATGAGACTGCGATAGATTGTTGGATCAGAACAGAGAGATGAATCACCCTGTTGAAATTTAAGGTTTTGAGAAAGAGGAGTTTTGACTGGCTTGGCATGCAGGCAGTGATGCTCAGCAAGTAATTCCTGGGTAAATTTCTTTTGAGAAAGGATGATGCCCTCAGAGGTATAAGTAAGCTCAAAACCAAGGAAGTAATGTGCAAGGCCCAAGTCTTTGATAGTGAATGTGGCATCGAGGAAGCGTTTGAGAGAAGCAATAGCAGCAGGGTCTGAACCAGTGACAAGTATGTCATCAAAATAGACAGCAGCTAGAGTGAGGTTATCAGAGGTATATTTGATGAACAGACTCGGGTCAGATTTGGATTGAACAAACCCTTGACTGTAAAAAGCAGAAGATAACTTGGTGAACCATTGTCGACTTGCCTGGCGAAGACCATAAAGAGATTTCTTCAAACGACAGACTTGATGAGTAGGGTTGGGAAAACCCAAAGGAACCTTCATGTAAACTTCATCAGTTAAGTCCCCATGTAGAAAAGCATTGTTGATGTCTAATTGAGAGAGTTCCCAGTTTCTTGAAGCAGCCAAGGCAATTATGCATCTAATGGTAGACATTTTGACCACAGGAGAAAAAGTTTCAGTGAAGTCGATGCCATATTTTTGGTGATTCCCTTGTATGACAAGTCTAGCTTTAAATCTTTCCAAGGAGCCGTCAGATTTAAGCTTGACTTTATAGATCCATTTACTGGAAATGGCTCGCTTACCAGGGGAAGATCAACAAGCTCCCAAGTGTCATTAGCCTGTAATGCTGTGATTTCTTTGTTCATAGCAACAACCCACCTAGGATCATTGGAAGCCTCAAAAAAAGAAGTAGGTTCAGTATAGGAACAGAGATGGGTAAGGAAAGCTTGATGGCTTTGTGACAAAGTGTTTAAGTGGACCAGATTACACCATTGAGAAGAAAGGGCAGAGGGGTGAGACTTGCTGGATAAGGTGGGACAATGATATTGGTGTAAGTAAGAAGGTGGCCTGTGCACTCTAGTGGATAATCTGGGAGGGGAAGAAGGAAAGGAAACTGAAGGAATGTCAGATCCAACAGAAGGAGGTGATGTTGAGAGGGTAGGGGAAGATTGTGGTATAGGGTTTGAGGTATGAAGTGGAGAACTGGGGGACGGGTAAGAAAAAATGTTGAGTAGGTCAGAGGGTATGTTGGGCAGTACAGTAGAAGAAGAAGCAGATGAAAGATGATGAAAGGGAAAATAGTTCTCATGAAATTTGACATGCCTGCTATAAAAAATCTGTTTGGTATGGAGATTGAGGAGTGTATAGGCCTTCTTGTGGAAAGGATAGCCTAGAAAAACACAAGGTACAGCCCTTGGATCAAATTTTGTTCTATGGGAGGATGGGGTTGTAGCAAAACACAAACATCCAAAAGATCTAAGGTGTTCATATGTGGGAGGAGTTTGAAAAACAATTTCATATGGAGTTTTATGATGAAGAATGGATAGGGGAAATCTGTTTATTAGGTAACAGGCTGTAAGAACACATTCACCCCAATATTTGATAGGTAATTTGGCTTGAAAGAATAAGGCCCTGGCAGTTTCAAGCAAATGTTTGTGTTTACGTTCCACAACCCCATTTTGTTGTGGTGTTTCAACACAAGTGGTTTGATGAATAATACCATGAGAATGATAAAAAGATTGAGCTGTGGTATCATCAAATTCTATGCCATTGTCTGATCGAATGACCTTAACAGTGACATCAAATTGTTTTTCAAGATGGGTGATGTAGCTAGTGAGGGCTGAAAAAGCACTAGATTTGTGAGAAAGTAGTTGAACGTAAGT